ACTATTGTTTCAGAATATATATTTTTTTTCACACATTTATTCACATATTGTATTGTCTGGGATGTAGCGCAGGTTTTTTTTCCCCTTTTTTATGATTGTATATCACTCTAGTGTGTGTAGGCCTGTAAATAGAAACAGTAAATATAGAAACAAACAAATTCCAGCCTATCCAGGGAATACTGGTCTCTGCCTTTGTTGAGCAATTGAAGACATTCAGATGATAATTTGCATTTGTCATTGTGTTAAATCTGAAATCCAGGCAGATGTAAAAGACACAATTAATGCAGCTCTGTATTCATGAATACATTATTCAATGTGCTTTTAAATTCAAGCAGTGTAAGCACCTGAACTTATCCTGATATCACCGTGTTGTAATTCCCTGTATAGCGGAGCACACATTTGGCGAAGAAGCAGCAAAAGCAGCCAAATAGTTTGTGCTTTAGCCATCATGTGTTAAAAAAGGACATGCTGATAGGAAGAGAGCAGTTACGAAGAAATCAGCTCATCATTGACTTCTTCTGGAGACCTGTAAAACCTATGAGGCGTAGTTTACACTTCAGAATTGGAGAAGGCAGTAGAAACTGGGGGTTGAGTTGTAGTTTTAACATTTTTAACACCCCCCATCCTCCAACAACCCCTGTAAGCTGCAAAGGCAGCCATGTATGGGTTTACACGTGCTGGAAAAATGACCCCCCCCCCTCTTCTGTGTGTAGCAGTGACCTACTAAGAAACTTGTATTTTACAGGCCCTTCTAGCCTTTCTACTGATGATCTAGCCTACAGCTGCACCAAAACAATCACTGAACCACCACATTGACCAAATGACAGATAGCAACTCTGTTCATCTCCTTCAGAAAAATGTATTGACTGTGTAGATTCCGAGCTACTGACAGTATCTGCCATGAGGAGCGGAGTGCAGCCGTACCGGTCCAGCTCACTGGGGAAGTTTCTTGAGAGGGTAGACATAGTCCCTGCTTTTTCCCTACTCCACCAGAACCTTTCCCTACTACTAGTGCTGTCCCTGTCAGACAGGTGACCGGTCCTTATACTAGCCACTCGCATAAAGCTTGCCAAAACTTGGGGCAAGGACTTAAAAAGACTCTGCTTGATCCAAGATGGCCACCAGGGTCACCTGGGTTCAACACATCCAACCGGATCACTGCTGCAAGTCACTGAGAAAACCATAGAGAAACCAAGTTTTTCTTGACTTCCTCTCCCAACTGCATTGCGGCTATGGTCGAGCGTCATCTGCAGTAAAGAATGTAGACTGTACCTGCCTACTCTCTGATTGGAGTTCAGATTTAAGAACAATCAATACTGAGCAATCAATCTATTTTGACTCCAATATCTTTTTAACTATAACCAGAATATCTTATCATCTTGTTTGCAGGTGTTTTATAGAATATGTAAACCCAACATTTATATATGCAATCCGTAAGGACATTGTCAACTCGCAATCTACCTCTCCACCTAGCCCCCCTCCCTCCATCACCCCCTCAACTCTTCCCTCCTCCGACCTCAAAGCCGCACTACCCCCACTATACCTAACGCCCCGCACACTATCACCTCCCCAACGCTCCGCTCCTTCAGCCCAGCTACCACTGAGGAGGTCTCTAAGGTCTTCACTGAAGCCCGCCTCACCACTTGCCCCCTGGACCCTATCCCCTCACAGTTCCTCCAGTCACCCCCCCCTCCATCATTCGCTCCCTCACCCACATCTTCAATCTCTCCCTCTCCACTGGCACTTTCCCCTCCCCTCTAAAGCACGCACACATCACCCCCATACTCAAAAAAACCTGCCTTGGCCCCACTGACCTAGACCCATCTCCCTGCTACCATTCACTTCCAAGCTCCTTGAGCGCCTGGCCTACAATCACCTAAGCACCCACCTCACTGATAACAACCTCCTTGATCCACTACAGTCTGGCTTCCGTCCCCTACACTCCACCGAAACCACCCTACTTAAAATCACTAACGACCTGCTAACCACTAAAGCTAATGGCCATTACTCAGTGCTCCTGCTCCTTGACCTCTCCGCGGCCTTCGACACAGTCAACCACCCTCTCCTCCTTACTAAACTGCACTCCCTTGGCATCAGGGATGCTTCTCTCTCCTGGTTCTCCTCCTACCTATCCCAACGCTCCTTCAGCATCACCTATAACACTGCCACCTCCCCCTCTCTCCCCCTCTCTGTTGGAGTCCCCCAAGGCTCTGTCCTCGGATCCCTCCTCTTCTCCATCTACACCTCCTCCCTTGGCAAACTAATACACTCCCACGACTTCAATTACCACCTCTATGCCGACGACACCCAAATTTACCTCTCCACCCCCCACCTCGCCCCCTCACTCTCCGCCCGCATCGCCCACCTCCTGAACGACATATCAGACTGGATGTCTCTCCATTTCCTCAAATTAAACCTGTCCAAAACCAAGCTCCTGGTCTTCCCCCCAGCCCCCAGCCCGCGCCCCCCCCATCCTCTCCATCACTACTAGCAACGCCACCATCACTCCCACCCCACATGCCAAAGTCCTGGGTGTCACCCTGGACTCAAACCTTTCCTTCCAACTTCATGTCCAATCACTATCAAGGTCATGCAGGCTCCACCTCCTTAACATGTCCAAGATATGTACATTCCTCACCCCAGACACTACTAAACAACTCGTACAATCCCTCATCATCTCACGCCTGGACTACTGCAACTCCCTTCTCACTGGTCTACCCAAACAAACGCTATCCCCACTCCAGTCTATCCTGAACTCAGCGGCGAGACTCATCCACCTCACCAACCGCTCCACATCTGCTACCCCCCTCTGCCAATCCCTTCACTGGCTCCCGATTGCCCAGCGCATCAAATTCAAACTGCTAACTCTGACCTACAAAGCCATTCACAACGCTGCCCCAAACTACCTAATGGACCTGATACCCAAATACCACCCTACTCATGCCCTTCGCTCCTCACAGGACCTCCTACTCTCTAGCTCCCTGGTCTCCTCTTCCCACGCCCGACTGCAGGACTTCTCCAGGACTTCCCCCATCCTCTGGAACTTCCTACCCCAGTCCATCAGACTGTCACCTACCCTCTTCACCCTGAAAACCCATCTCTTCAGGGAAGCCTACCCCACCCTCACCTAACAACTGATCTCCTCCACTTCTCCCACCACTCCATCCCCCACAGCCACTTCCTCCTGTGCCACTTTGCCCTCCCTCCTAGATTGTAAGCTGGAAAGAGCAGGGCCCTCGAACCCCTCGTGTACTGTATTGTTACTGTCTTGTCTCATGTTCTGTCCCCCTTGCTACTGTACAGCGCTGAGCAAACCCTTTGGTGCTATATAAATACTGTATAATAATAATAATAATTATCCTGATATGTGCCTGTACTTGTATGAAAAGTATCCTATTCTCTTTGTATTGTTTCCTTTGTGTGAAATAACTGGTGTCCCTGCCAGTCCCTCTTCTTTCCTATTAAAAACTGACCACTCTAGGCATGAAAGCACACCGTGGCCAGTTCTCTAGCTGTGCTGGAAACTCAGCCTACTCTCCTTCAATGATCAGACTTGTCCTGACCCCCCTCTCTCCGCACAGCCTTCCACTCGGAGGATCAGTGTCCTGCTGTTGCTCCTCCCCTAGCTCTTATGCAGCTGAGAACAGAGGGAATGTGATCACTTATAAAAAAGGTGAAAAAAGATATTTATAATGTTTTTTATATCTATACACAGGTTTTGCCTTTCATTTCTATTTTAAACTGAATGGGCTGTTTTACAAGGTGAGGGTTTACAATCACTTTAATGTAATTTGGTGTTTCAATACAAGTTACCTTTAAAACAAATCTCAATAAGTAGAAATCAGGAAAAACAACTACACCAAGAGATAGTAGGACAGGTTGTCACAGGAGGCATCAGTTATCAACCTACATGATTAGTCACTTATTATTCTCATAATGAATAGATGAAATGCAATTGATATTGACAGAAATGTAATACAGATACATAGAAATTATACCCGTAGCATTGTTATCAACACTGCAGAATTACATGTTGAATGCATACTTGTGCTGTTCACTGACATGGCATCACAATTGCAACCAAGTAAACAGGGGTGGACTGACAACTCATGGGGCCCCCGGGCAATAGAGGATCATGAGGCCCCTGTGTCCTTGCCCAAATTCAAAAAAGCCTATGAAAAAGGTACCAGGGGCATCTCATGGGGCCCCCTACTGACCCCGGGCCCTCGGGCAGTGCCCGAGTTTCCAAATGGTCAGTCCGCCCCTGCAAGTAAATATACTTCAATTGCTGATCCAAGGCTATCATTTCAACCTTCTCACTATGTCTTTTTTTTTTTTTTTTTTAAAGCGCTGCTTACCTGGTGGTGTGATCAGCACATTTTAGATATTCACCTACCCAGCAGATCCAGCATTGTCCAGTTGAGATCCTTCTCTTCTGGGAGTGCTTGTTCCCGTACTGCCATGTTTTTCTGTGACGTCATCGATAGGCTACTAGTTGTTCAGCCTAGGCGAATGACGTGCGGGGAAGGGGGGGGCACATTCAGACATCTAACAAAAGACTAAATAAAGAAAAACATGCTTGCTAATGTAGAGGACCAAAGGAGCGGTGGAGCAAAGGGTTAAAGTTTTTGAGGCTGGAGATTCACTTTAACACTTCAAGGTTTCATTACCATTCAGGTTTGAAAACTGGGACAAAATTGGAGTTGTCACTAGCAGCAGCCAGTAGTGTTTCACCTTTCATTTTAAAGCAGAACTTCACTCTCTCAATCAACATTGACCATTTTTAATCCTTATGCTGCTAAGCATTATTAACCACTTGCCTACAGGGCACTTATACCCTCTTCCTTCCCAGGCCAATTTGCAGCTTTCAGCGCTGCCGCACTTTGAATGACAATTGCGCGGTCATGCAACACTGTACCCATATTACATTTTTATAATTTTTTTAGACAGATAGAGCTTTCTTTTGGTGGTATTTAGTCACCTCTGGGTTTATTTTTTGCTAAACAAACCAAAAACAACTGAAAATTAAAAAAAAAAAGAAGTTTTTTCTTAGTTTCTGGTTTGTAAATAAGTGATTTTTCTCCTTCACTGATGTGCACCAATGAGGCTGCAGTGATGGACACTGATAGGCGGCACTGACTGGCACTGTTAGGTGGCACTGGCTGGCACTGTTAGGCGGCATTGATAGGCAGCACTGATGCGCACTGATAGGCGACACTGATGCGCACTGATAGGCGGCACTGACTGGCACTGATAGGTGGCACTGATTGGCAGCACTAATAGGTGGAACTGACTGGCATTGATAGATGGCACTGACTGGCACTGAAAGCAGCTCAGATGGGCACTGATATGTGGCATTGATGTGGCACTGATGGACACTGGCAGGTGGCATTGATGGGCACTGGTAGGCACTGATATGTGACATTGATGTGGCACTGATGGACACTGGCAGGTGGCATTGATGGGCACTGACAGGTGGCACTGCTGGGGCTACACTGATCATCAGGGCACACTGATCATCAGTGCCCTGATGATCAATGTACATGTCCCCTCTGAGTAATGCCAATTACCGGCTCTCCTCTCTTCAAGAGCTGTCAGCATGACAGCTCGTGAGGAGAGAAATGCTGATAACCGATATTTCCTTATTTACATGTGATCAGCTGTGATTAGACATAACAGATCACATGACAGAGCCGACATCTTCGGCTCTTTCCGTTGATCGGTGATCCGCTGTGTCCCGCACGCACGGTTAGAGTGGGTGGACGTCATGTGACGTCCTCCCAGAATGAAAGAACCACCTTGCGCCCGTCATTTCCCTATATGGCAGGTGGGAGGTTAAATAGATAGGAAGGTACATTGTATTTACTTGTTTTAAACCTTTTTTTTTACGTTGCCTCAGTTACTTCCTGGTTTCCAGGCCTAGGCCAAAATGATGTCATACATCCTAGAAGTCCTCAGGAGGGAAGGAGGGGTTTTCTAGGTACAGCCTGAGCTATGGGCAGATGGATTCAAGGCAGTAAATGCTACATGAATCATCTTTCCTTACTCAAGATGGCCACAATCAGAAATGCTAGGGTTGGTGTTCTTCAAAGTGACCTCTCAGCAAAATAAAGCATGGAGACATGGATGGATGATTAAGTTTGCTTTTAATATTAAAAATGTTTTTGGTTTGTGGTGCTCAGAAGCAATATAGTTTCTCTTTAACAAGAATTCGGATCATTATGGGCAATATCTCCAGTTGTGTTTTTTTTTTTCTCTATTTTTCCTGTCTTCAAAATCTCTATGAAGAGGTACTGCACAGCCATGGCAGGGGGAAAGAAGATTTTGGTTGCAGGATGTAAAGATTGCTGTAGGCCATGAGAAGCAGGTATGTATACATAAAGGATGGGAAAGGGTTACAAAAATTAGTAAGGCTGAATAAAGACATCAGTCCATCCAGTTCAACCTGTGTAGGTGTGGGTGTATGTATTTATGTCTCTGCCATTTCCCATATCTCTGTTTTTTTTTTCGTTTTTGCTAAGCTACCCATCTAAGAGTTTTTTTACATTATTGACACCACAGCTGACACCACCAATTGGTCACTGCCAACAGCTCTCAATTTGTAAATTAAGTTAATAAGGGAATTGTATCACATAGTTTGGCAAAGTCCAAATACACAACATCCATATGCATTCCTCTATCCAAATTACAGTTTACCGCCTCATAGAGTGTTAAAAGGTTGGTCTGGCAAGAATGATCCTTCATAAATCCATTATAGTTATTAGTAATGATTCCATTTTTATCAGCAAATTTGTGGATATAGTCCCTTTTCATTCCCTCCAATAGTTTACACCCTATTGATGTTAGGCTGCCTGGTCTGTAGTTTTCAGGTATTAGGCTGACTGGTCTGTAGTTTCCAGGTATATATCTCAGCCCTTTTTTGAATAGTGGTACTGTAGCAAACTTGCTCATCAGAGATGGACGCGGAGTTCCCCTTTTTTATTAGGAGTATTCCTCAATCCTTTATTCCCTACCCCCTCCCTTCCTGAGAGGCACAGGGACAGATGTGTGTGTGTTTAAAAGTGGCTGGCAGACTAGAACAGCATAAGGCCCAGAGCTACAAAGCCCCCCCATGGAGCAGAGCCTGCTTGTCCCAAGGCCCGTGTAAACTCACACCTCCTAACCAAGATAAGGTAGTTTTTCCCCCCTGACTTGAAAGAAGTTGGAACCTCATAAACCCTACATGCCAGGTGACAGAAGTTAAATGAACATTCCTCCGGTCAGCTGTCACCTATGTTTCATATCATGGATTATGAAGCTGTCAGTTTTAATGCAGAGTCCATCCGATGATCCCGCCCAAAACAGGGTATTGGCCAGTTACTCAGAGCCACCCCCCCTGCTGGGGGACTTTAAAAGACAGACTGGCAAGCCTAAAAAGTGAAGCTAAAGACATCTCCCAATTTTAACATCGTAACAGCAGGAGATCAAAGACCCTTTTGCTCTGCAACTTGGATCTGCTTACCTTAAGGCTGAACATGGCAAGTAACTTAACTTTTTAACTTCTCCCTGTTATCTCTGTGCTGTGCTGTTTTCTATGTGTATATATATATATATATATATATATATATATATATATATATCTTAGTTAGTTACATCTTTTCTCTGTAAATATTTTATTGCACCTGTTTGACTCTTTTAGTAATAAATCTTTCTTTCTGAAAGTGTTAAACTGTTTCTAAAGCGCTTAATTGCAATTTACGAATCCCTGCCTTCTGTAGAGACGCTACTGTGTTTGTTTAATCCTCTGACCAATCGGCCTGCGGTGACCGTATTGGACAGGCGACTTTTCAACCACTACAGTGTATATTTGATAAAGAGAGTTTCCCCTTTCTCTGTACACAAAGGGTTGGTGGAAGTGTGAAGGGTTAGTTGCGTAATTAACCCGACCCAGTAACAAGCGCATTCAGGCTGCCGGTGCGTCGATTGCGTTCCATTAGCTGGACAATCGTTGTGCAGGGCGCAGCTGAGTGTGGCATTGTTACGCACGTCACATAGCGATTTTAGATCGGCCGGTCCTTTGGTCACGAGTTTGGTGAGAAGGTCTGGGGTCTGACGCCGCGGTCGTGCCCTATTGTTGGTCGCGGTCGTGCGATTGTCGCATGTTCAGGGTGGCGATCGTGCGATCCGTGACAGTACCGTGTTAGTTTTTCACCAGTCAGTTGGTACCATTTGGTCAGCAAGTTGACCTTATAGATTTGGAATAACAGTCTAGCAAAGACCTGGCTAAGTTCTTTGAGGCCATCTGGTCCTAGTGATTTATTCACATTACATTTCTCCAGTCTTTTTTAACACTGGCTTCTGTTAGCCATAATGGAACATTCTGTGCAGTTTTCAAAACAATACTGTCTTGTCTATTATGCCCATCCTTTTCCTTAGTAAAAACATATTTAACATAGTTGCCTTCTCCCTGTCACTTGTAACCAAATTCCCCTGACTATCCTTTATGGGGCCAATATGCTCCGGCTTTGCCTTTTTGCTATTAATATATCCAAACAAATTTTTGGAATTCTTTATAGTGTTCTCTGCTATATGTCTCCTGTGGTCTGTTGTCGCTGCCCAAATTACGCTCTTACATTTCTTATTGCATTCCCTGTAGTGTAGGAATGCTGATGGTGATAATTTTTTCTCTATAATATGCCTTTTTATACTAACATTTAGCCACCCTTGTTTGACTTTTTTTCTTTTATATTGGTTGCCCATTGGAATACACTGGCTGATGCTATTAATTAATATGTTCTTACAGCACTCCCACTTTTCCTCTGCGGTTTTTGTGTCTAGAATATCCTCCCATTTAATGTTGTGTATGGAGCACAGTTTGGTAAAGTTGGTTCTCTTGAAAATTGAATGTTCTTGTCCTGCCCTCAGGTCTCCTTTTCTTTTTCTTGATTTGCAGTGAACATAATTACTGTGTAATCACTGTTTCCTACGTTCTCCTCTATTTCCATGTCTGCAATCAGCTCTGCATTGTTTGTAATTAGTAGGTCCAGCAGAGCCTTATTTCTATTTAGGCCAGGGGGGTGCTTTAGGTTGGAGGGGGTAGGCAGGGAGGAGAACTGCATGTTATGTTAAAGCGTACTTACCCTTTAATGACACAGACTAAAATCAGAGACAAACAAGCCCAATATCCCAAATGTGAGCTTGAAACATGACTCTTAGTTTTGAGGCTTATGTTTGTCTTGAGTTTTTTTTTCTTTTTTTTAAGGTAGCTTTATTGTTTTCAAAAGAAAGAGGTACAAACAAGAGCAAACAGTGCTCACAAATAAATGGTGTATAATACAGAAGCAGAATGTCCATTCAGTATATTGTCAACATACATCGAAAGATCATGTATAGAGTAAAGACATATCAAAGCATAATGTATACAGAATCCAAGAAATTTAAAAAGCTATGCAATTAGAACTACAAGAGTATCCTTGGGCCAGGGGCAGACTGACCATTTGGAAACTCGGGCACTGCCCGAGGGCCCGGGGTCAGTAGGGGGCCCCATGAGATGCCCCTGGTACCTTTTTCATAGGCTTTTTTGAGTTTGGGCAAGGACACAGGGGCCCCATGATCCCCTATTGCCCAGGGGCCCCGTGAGTTGTCAGTCCGCCCCTGCTAACTATATTCCAAAATAGTGGCCACTTGATGAAACGGCTTTTATATTCTCCTTTAGCTGAAACAACGGGGGAGATTTATTAAAAGTGCTGCACACAGAAGCTGGTGCAGTTCTGCAAAGTAACCAATCAGGATTTATTATAAAAGAAGTGAATTGGTGCTGCGCTACTCAGTGCATGAACAATGTAACATAAATAACCATACAAATAGGTTGTACATTTGCTGGTCCTGGACCAGCAGGTGATATAGTTTGCTCAGACTCCACCCATTTTCTTGTGGTTTAGGTGTGTGTGTTTGTTATGTGTGAAAGTCCAAACTCTTTTATATTGGTTGCCCATTGGAATACACTGGCTGATTATGTGTGAAAGTCCAAACTCTTTTATATTGGTTGCCCATTGGAATACACTGGGGAGATTTATTAAAAGTGCTGCACACAGAAGCTGGTGCAGTTCTGCAAAGTAACCAATCAGGATTTATTATAAAAGAAGTGAATTGGTGCTGCGCTACTCAGTGCATGAACAATGTAACATAAATAACCATACAAATAGGTTGTACATTTGCTGGTCCTGGACCAGCAGGTGATATAGTTTGCTCAGACTCCACCCATTTTCTTGTGGTTTAGGTGTGTGTGTTTGTTATGTGTGAAAGTCCAAACTCAAACCATTTTATTTCTTTATATTACTGTTCCTGCAATACATTATTATTTACCAATGACTTTTGCCTGGAAATACCTTAAAGCGGAGTTCCGCTCACCTTGTCAAAAAATTAAAATCAGCAGCTACCAAAACT